ATCGGTATAAAATGCCTAAACTTATTTCTAAGGTAATTTAATTATTTCGTTTTTATAGTGGATTCATGTATCAATATGTCATATCAAAGATAAGATTAAATTAACGAATTCATTTTAACTTTGCAGATTGAAGGCAAAGGTAACGGAATCAAGACTGTAGTTCCAAATATGTCAGATATTGCGCGTTCCTTGAGCCGACCACCGACATGTAAGTAATGAATTCATGGTGCTTGCTAATAATATGTATTATTAATCAACTTAATGGCAAAGTGATTAAGTGACGTTATTTAATTTTTGAGTTTAACAAATATTAAAGCGTATTCTTTGGTTGTCATTTAATAGATCCCACTAAATTCTTCGGATGTGAACTTGGTGCTCAAGTTAAATGTGACGAAAAAACCGATCGTTACATTGTTAATGGCGCACACGAAGCCGCTAGACTTCAAGAATTGCTCGATGTCTTCATTAAAAAATTTGTTCTTTGTGCCGGTTGTAATAACCCCGAAACTGATTTAGTATGTTATAACTATGATTTTGCGTTCGTAAGTTTAGAAGGTTAAACGTGGAATTTTACTAAATTATATATATTTAATTTCCTTTATAGATTATTATCGGTAAAAATAATAGTCAGAAAATCATCCGTGATTGCAAGGCCTGCGGTCAACGAACTGATGTTGATATGCGTCACAAGCTTGTTACCTACATCCTGAAATATCCGCCTACTCCTCCCAAATCTAAAGGCGCTAAAAAGGACAAGAAAACCAAGAAAGGTGAAGACGATGAACAAGCATCTCCCACTGGTAAAGGCTCTTCTGAAGAAGGAACGGATGATGAACTTACTCGTCGCATCGAGGCTGAAGCTGCTAGTCTTCCTACTGCAGATGAATATAAGGATGATGATGATTGGGTTCTTGACACCTCCGCGGAAGCTGTTGCAAAACGTACTAAAGAATTTTCTAAACTTATGTTAGACGAAAGCGGTTCAGACGACGAGAGTGAAGATCCTTACGAACAACTCGATAAATGGTTGGAGAAAAATGCTTCATCAGCCTCTAGCAATGATATATATAAGAAAATTAAGGAACTTGGTATTACCAAAGAAACTGATCAGGTCTTGAAACATCTTGTGCTTGGCCTATTTGCGAAAATTTTCCAGAGTCACTTGTCTACCATTAATAAACATATTCACAAAAAGGCCAAACTTTTACAAAAGGTAATATTTAATAATAATTTATGATTTACTTTATTTTATTATTTTTATTTACATTTGACACGATTTATTCTTTTAACAGTTTCTCCAAAGTCCTGATGATCAAAGAGCTCTTTTAGGAGCTACCGAAGTACTCGTCTCTGAACATAAAGATTTGTTTGAAAGTAAGATTATTTGTAGCATTTTGATGGGATATTATCAAAATGATTTGCTTGAAGAAGAAGTGTTCCAAGCGTGGCTCGAAGGTAATAGTTCTGAGACTTATCGAAATCTCTTTAAGAGAACTGCTTCAGTTAGCTACGTTGATGCTGCAATCAACCAAGATATTCGCAACAAGGCAAAGCCATTTGCGAAGTGGTTAGAGGAAGCAGAAGAAGATGAAGATGAAGATTAATTACGTCACTATCATTAGATAGCACAACTCTGAAATTTTATTGTTACTATCTGAAATTTTATATTTTTTCACATCTCTTTTTACATCTATTTTTTTTACTTTTGTTTCTTGTCTCTGTATTGAATTTAAAATGTTAATAATATATATATATTTTTAAATAAATATTTTTATTAATCATAAATTGTTTGGATGAAGTACAATTCTGAAATACGTATTGGCTAGAAATTACTATAGAGATTGTGATCAATTTTTTAATCGAATGTCCGTTTTTAGTATACTTTTAATCCAAAAATACTTTTGAAAATACTAATCTGAAACCGTTTCAGAGTTTGAAACCCAAAACCTTATTAATTTAATGCAACAGATGAATTATACCGCAAGTTGCAGTAATTTGCCTTTATAATAAATATCGAGTATTTCGAATTTTATGAAGATCAATGGGTAGTTCGATATTTATTAATGTGATTAGAAAGTCAAATAACAACTGTCATAACTTTTTTTTTTGTCAAACAATCGTTCCCTTTGATAAAAGAAAAAACATGTATATAGATAAATAGAAAATTCTATATGTAAAATGACAATATGCTAAGAACATAAATTAAAATTTAATACTAATACAAATATTAAATCAAATTAGTAAACTCAATTCCATCAAATTAAAAAAAGATCACAATCTAGATCTTTCTTTTTTTTTTAAATAATATTACGATTTTCTAATATATAATTTGATTATTTTAATAATTAAGGTTTTGTTGCATTTATATTCCTCCACCATTTTTCATTATTTCTTTAAGTGTTAACCTTTTTTGGTTGGTTGATAACTTAAGCTGTAAAATATCACCAATCTCGTCACATGCTCGTAATACGAGGTCTAAGTCGTCTTTTGTGTGTGCAGCAGAAATACAAAATCGGGCACGTGATGAAATCATCGGCGTTGCTGGGTAACCAACGACTACTACTGCAATGTTACGTTTTAGGCACTCTCTGGAAAATGCACTGAAATAAATTATAGGTAGCAATAATAATCAGAATAATATTAAATTATTAAATAAAAGATCAATTAGACAGGAAGCGATAATACTCACGGAATCTTTGCGGGATTAAATAATATAAGAGGAATAATTGGAGAGTCATGATCACCATAAATAATAAAGCCTAATCGTCTTAGATTTGTGCTGAGATAACGAGCATTGAAAGCCAAGCTTTCTAAACGCTTCTGACCTTCATTTGTTCCATCTTCACCCATTATAATTGACATTGATGTATAAATTTGTTGTAGTACAAGAGGAGTCATTGATTCAGCATATATCGATCCATGAGATGTAAGACGTAAATAGTCGATTACATTTTTGTCGGCTGCTATATACCCCCCAGCTGCTCCGAATGATTTGGTAAATGTGCCCATTAATATATCAACTTCATCGGGATTGACACCATAATAGTCACATACTCCACGACCACGTGGTCCCAATGCGCCAATACTGTGTGCTTCATCAACATAAAGATAAAACTTTTAAACATATAAGGGATGACAGATAATATGACAGTTAAAAATCACATGTTGGGAACCTTTCAACATTCCTTTTTTTTTTTTTTTTTTCAGTATTAACTAACAATCTTAAAAAAAAACCTACTTTATATTTTCGTTTAAATTCAAGAATTTTCGGCAAATTGCATATACTTCCTTCCATAGAATAGATACCTTCTACAATGAGCAAAATTTTCTTCCACGGACGATGCGTACGTGGCTGGCCTTGACTAATACATTCTTTTAGCAAAGCTTCTAAGTCATTCATATTATTATGTTTGAAAACTCGAATAAATGCACCAGAAAGACGGCTGCCAAAAACTATTGAACTATGATTTAGTTCATCGGAAATTATAAGACAACCTTTTGATACAAGGGCAGGAATTGTAGTGCTATTGGTTGCGTAACCCATAGAAATAATCATGGAAGCCTCTTTTCCTACAAATCGTGCCACAAGGGATTCTACTTGTTGGTGAAGATCTAAAGTGCCTGTATGTACCGAATAAAGATTAATTAATAAATATATATATATATATGTCTTTTGATCATAATATAAATAAAGCAATAAATCCTACCAACTTCAGCTCGAGAACTACATGATGAGATTCCATACTTCCTTACAGTCTGTTCTACAGCATCAGCGCAAGGACCTTCACATTGTGCAAAACCCAGATAATTATAGCTACTTAAATTTAAACAATCTTTGGTTTTACCAGTTAATTGAAATGTTTTGCAATAATCATCAGTTTTACGTTCTAACAAGGTAATCTTTCGACCGGGAACACCAGTGACCGGACGATTAAAAACGTCATTAATTCGAAGCTTGAGACGACGAACATAAAAATTTTCAAAGTCAGAATTAAGAGGAGCATAACCCTACATTTAATATTGGAAAGTTAACAAATTAGATTTCGTTTACAAAACTATTAAGGTAAAATGTAAAGTATATTTTTACATTCTGCTCTCTTAAATGACGATAATTTTTACTCTTAAATCTTTTGCCAAAGAAATCTCGAAGGTGACCAAAACAAATAAGAACTAAATATGACAAATAGGTTGTGAAAAGAAAGTAGTATGGTGGTTCCTCCTCTACCCAGCCTGGATCGTCTTCCCTTCGTTTTGAAATATAACGTTTTTTCTCGACATTATCTTCCGATTTTGAACCCATTATTTCTGTATTAAAAAAAGCGAATGTAAACTGTGCATACATCTTTATTTGAGAGTGTGACAAACTCACGAGATCGAGGATTATCTAACAAATTTTGGGATAACGATAAAGTGATGTACGTACAGTACAGTACATAGATAACTGATAAGATTTACTTAGATCATAATACAGTAATACAGAATTATACCAGAAAAATAGATGACGAAATTAAAACCTATTTAATAAATTTGTTTAAGGTACATTTTCAGATTTGGACTAATAATAAAAGAGCATAGGTGGGATTTTAGTCGAGTTTATAAATTAAGTATACTGTATCCAATACTAAGCTTGATGCTCTAACCTTATTAATTTTATTTGCTAATTAAAAAATAATATCTACAGTAATAACATTAAACATAAAATATAAATCTTAACCCAATTTTTTTCACTTTTTTAAAAAGAGCCACCTGGATGTTATAACGTACAAAAAATTTTCTTAAAGTTTGCAGAAACTACGCAACTGGGTTATGAAGGCCAAAAATTAATTAATTATTGATAATATAATAACTATATATATATATATATATATATATATCAAAGACTTACATAATCAATATAATTACATTAAACCTATTTTTTTTTTATCTGTATAAGTATCAATAATATGAAAAGCAAGTCAAATTCAAGATCAAATAAAATTCATAATAAACAATTGTGACAGCTGAAGCTAAATTTAAGTTTTTCCTCTTAATATATAAAACCTACTAAGGGCTCATATTTTACTATTAATTATTTTTAACCCCAACTTTAATCTTTACCAAAGCAGAAAAAAATATAACTTAGAATTTTTTGTATTAAAATAGAATTAATTCCACTTTAGCTGCCGAAATAAATATTAAAATACAGTTTCATACCTTTTATCCAGTAAAAGTCGACATTATGTATTAAAGTTCATTCTTACAAGGATCGATTTTTGTATATTTCAAGAATAACCAAAGATTTATATATTAACCCCATTGTGCAGCTTTTGATAAATCATATCCCATCGGTGGAGGAGGTCTAAGCGATGGTGGTAAATCTCTCAATGACAGACCAGCTGGAAGCTTATACTTAAACATTGGCGTTGGTTTTTGCTGTAATGATTGCCCACCTTGTACATTCATGAATGCATGACGCCGTTGTTGTTGAAGAAGAATAGGATTTTGGGCCAAATATACTACAAGCGAAAAAAAAACATTAACAAAGCATTAATTTGAAGTTTAATTACAGTATTAATGATGCAAAAATAATAATTAGGCTTACGATGAGGATCAACTAAAGAGAAATCAATTCCATAGGGAACATGGGAATATTTACAACTTAAACCAAAAGGACAATATCCAGTTTCATGAAATTTTCTACAAGGAGATTTCTTGCTATTTTCCAATAATAATTCAACAGGATCTAAATTGGTCTTAATTAGATCGAAGAAAAAGCATACAAGTGATAACGATTAACGTATTACCTTTATAAGAGTCATAATGAAGCTTTACGTTATTTTGATGATTTGCCCCTTCTATGTGATTTCTCCTAGCTTCAGCATTATCAGGAAAAATTCGGTCACAATAATCACAATAATCTTAATTCAGACGACACAAATACATATATAAATATATATATTTTGTTAATATTGTCGATTTCAACGCATAAAAACTCTTAATAGACGACGAACTTACATTTTTTCACCATACTTTATAAAAGAAGAGTCGAACAGTTTGCTCTGACAATGTATCTGATTAAAAAAACCCGGAAAAAATGGTAGCCTGATTTCGGATAATGATTGCCGGTAATTATAATTATTCATAACTATAGAACTCAATTTCTTTAAACGATATTAATGATTTTTATAAACAAAAAATAGTTTTTTAAATACTTACGTACTATATATTATGTTTAATTTTTGTTAGGTCTAAAAGCTTAATAAAAAAAAACAAAATTAATTATACAACCATATATAAAACTTTAAACATACATAGCACTACGTAGTGCGCAATTTTAATTTTTTTATTATTAAAAATCAGTATTATGCAGCTGTTCGTGCAATTGGCCATATAAAAATTGCATTTGACGTATAAAAAGTTTAAATAAAAAAATCTATTATAGACATTAAAATATTGATTATCTACCCTAATAATAACTCTATCTAATACAAAAACATAGCATTTAATCTTTCAAGAAGTCACATGCTATACACATAATCACATCACCTTCGTTTCTATATGTACAAATTGGACAATCCCACTCTGAACTTAAAATTTCAATAGGAACAAAATCCTGTGATTGTTGATCTGTATCTGGCTTTATGTTCAAACAAACCTCACATTGCAATACCAATGGCTTATTTTTAAATGTACATTTTGGACAACTCCATGATATGTTGTTGATTCCGGGAATTTTATTTGCAGGAATCCGAACTGCCGATGAACTTCCACTGTATGGTGTTTTTGCGACATCTTTCAATGATTTACCACTATTACCAATTCGTTCACTACCACACCAAATCATGTCATTTTTCCTCCTTTCAGCCGCAATTGCTGTTAGTTCCCTCATCGGAACTCCATGATGTTCCCAGCCAACCCCTCCTAATTTTACTCCTCCATGCGTCATTATTTTTCTCAACTCTGCGGCCTTTATTGCTTTTTGTCTGGCCATTTCAGGTGTGTCATTATGTGATACTCCTTGGCCAAGCATATTGCCATTTCCATAAAATCCCTCACCTACTTTACCGCTGGTGAGTAATTCATCGTATTCGTCATGTAGTTCATCAAGTTGTTTGTAGAATGCTGCATCGTGTGGACCATACTTATTATGCGTTAATCTAAAATAAATGTGTTAGGTATGATGAAATAATTATAAAAATTTAACATTAATAATGTAAAGATTACATACTCATGCAACATCGTTCCGATGAGATCATTGAAGTCGAGAAATCTTCTTTCGTCATAATGAGGACGTAATCTTATACATATTTTTTTGCCATGATTTATATTTATTCCTAAGAAATAAATTGGGTTAGGCCAAAATTTATATATATTTATTTATTTATTTATTCATAGCTACAAGCAAACATACCAAGTAGCCTCTTATCTTCGGGAAAAAATTCTTCTAAAGCTCCTACTTTCCAATTATGCTTTTGCATTATTGGTTTAACCTAGCAACATAAAAGATTATATCAGCTATATACTTCTATAAAAAGAAAAAATCATGATACAATACATGAGAAGCCAGCTTTTTCAGTAACTCCAGTGCTTCAGCATGATTCGGATATCGGTCCAAAGATCTAATATTAAAGATACGTTCATCTATCTTATTTGTATTCATTTTCTCCGATAAAAAGATGGTTTTCATTTCATTTTTATATTGATTTGCTTAAAAAAGTGTGTGCGTGTGTGCTTACGTCAATTTACATTACGCAGTAATTAAATCACGTGTTACATTGGTTTTGTCCAATTTTGGTCTACAAGTGCTTTAATTCTGATAAGGCAAATTCTTTTACTACAAGTCCTACTGCTTTTTTTTATTTTAAATACTTGTACGTATTACTTTTTTAAAAAAGTACTTTATTTTTAATTGCCAAGAAAGTTAATAATATAACACCTTTTACTATATAAA